GATTTCAACAGAAAGAAAAACCCTTCGAGGGTGCATGTTAGTGGTAACAGCTGTAAATTAAAAACCTGATCAAAGCCAGAAACCCCACTATAAAATTTAAAATAAACAAATAAATAAATAAATATTATTATTATTATTATTATTATTATTATTATTATTATTACTTGTTACTTATTATTATTAATATTATTATTATTATTACAAAAATAATATAATTATTTTACGGAAGTTCTAGACTATATGGCAAAGAAAAGCTCAAAAGACTTTTTTATCTGGAAGATGTTTTGAACTCTTTAAGGATAAACCAGGAAAGAAGCTCCAAGATGATTTAGGAGTTGGTATTATTATATGCATGCTTCATGCCTCAGTGTTATTAAGACTGCTTTTGATCAGGATTTACCTTCATCATGCCTCTTTTGGTGACGCTTTAGTTTTCCAGGTGAATCAAACATGGCTAGACAACCTCTCTCTTTACACCTATGATAAAATATTATTTATAAGTAACATTTACATTATTTAACCTCACTAGTCTAAAACTAGCAACAAATCATTTGACCCTTAACAAGCTGGAAAGGGGACTTAAAATGTTTTATTGGGACCACAATTTGGTACATGTGCAAAGTTACAACTAAAATAGAGAACACAAAATCATAAGGCTGTTTGGTTTCTACTGAATTTGAACCACTACATTCATAACAGTATACATTTGTATGCTTGTTTAGGTGAAGAGTCTTTCTCTCCAGGGTATTTTTCTTAAGAATTTTTGCTTAAAACACTGTAATGTATGATAAATCATTCTTTTCATGGAAAGTTGGTCCACAGTAAGTAATGCGTTGTTCATAATTTTCTCATTCACATTGATGAGGGTGGCAAAATGGTATCTAGGAAATTTTGGGCCTCAGAAAAAAATAATGATCTGATCTTGAATTGCAAGCAGTCTTAATCCTCTGATTTTTGCCTTTTGCCAGCCCTGCATACATTGCAAAATTGAGCCTAATTTATTGGTTAATTACTCAGAAATTTGTTTTGGCCATTTTGCCTTAAGTACTATGCAATTGGCATTGGATAGGTTTACTGACTTAAAAGGTTTTTCACTAGTGTGAGCAAACTGATGGATCTTCAGCTGATTACATCTCATGAACTCCAGCTCACAGCCTTCATAAGGGCACTGTTAAGATCAATCCAAAAGAAAAGTGTATATTAAAAAATAATAATAATTAATGAAGTGATGACAACATAACAGATACTATTACCAGAAGTACAGATTAACAACCAGCAACACTGTCAAGTGCATATGTAGAGTACTTAGTACCAGTCTGAGATAACAACTTGCATGGTGAAGAAGTTTCAATACGCTTAAAACATACAGTAATGTTATATTTTGATTGCAGCCTGTAATGCGGCTATTTGAGGCCAAAAAGGAGAAAACAGGCAGGAAGAGGGCATACAAAGATAGATGGTGTAGATTGGAAGAGAAGTACTTTATCAAAGGATGGACGAGAATGAGGACCTCATCACCTTTTCCTTTGTTCTTCTGCCTTTTCATTGAATATTTCAAGAAGCACCCATGGTTTACCTAATTATCTTAAATCAATCTTTCAAACTACATGCCACATACAAACTCTTATTTTTGGATTTTGTGTAATTGCTGCCATCAAAATAACAATATTAGACTGAAAAAATAGAATTCTCTAAATTACCTTGAAAGGCCTGTTGTGAGCACGTTGTTCATGCCTTTTGCAGTTGTGTTTGGTCACAAATGACATTTCACACTGACTGCACCTAAAACAAAGGGGTTGATCATGATCAGGAGTAAATGCAGTCGCTGGATTAATTTATGGTTTTCTTAAGCTTTCATAAGCCACCAAGTTTAATATTAAAAAACAGAGAAAAACGGGGGTGAGGGTTAGATGCTTAGCCTGGGATATGCCAAAGAAATCCAATTTTTTTTTGTAATTTGCTGGGACAGGAAATTGAATGGAAAATTGGTGGGTGGTATGAGGAATTGGGTTTCTGGTTAAGATTTAATTTGGAGTAGGTTTACAATTTTGAGTGCCTAGACTAGAACACTGTAGCAAAGTTGCAGCAGAACAACATACTGTCATACTGTCCTACATGATGGTCATGTTTAAGGCTTAGCTACATTTACATCGGGTTTACCTCTATCACCCATCTTACCCTTCCAGATGGTCATTGCAACATACTATTAACTTACTTGAAAACTTTTTCTTTGTTATGAGACAGCAAGTGCCTTTTTAAATGGACAGCCCGGATAAAAGATTTCTGACAGCCCTCATGAGGGCATACACAAGGTCTCTATAAAATAAACAGCATAATAACAAGTTTGACTATTTATCGAGAAAACCTCTCATATTTTCCTGAAATCTATCTTCATTCATGTTATGGCCTCAGTGCCCTCAAACGGCATTTATCAATAGAATGTTCAAAGAAAAATGTGCTTTAAATAAAATACTTTCACCAAGTCAGAGAGTGTGATCTC